GACCACTAAAACCCCCCCCCCCCCCAAAAAAAAACAAGGAAATACGGCTGTAAACAAATTTGTATACAAATGGGAATCTGCAGATGCTTGATGTGTGGGTTAGGTTAAGTAATGCTGTATAATGGCCTAACTACTCTCTGCTTTAAGTGAAGTGATTAACGCTTAATTATAAGCTGTAACGTCCTGTATATTCACTGAAGATCCAGCTTAATGTAGTTGACTTATGATCGTAAATAAAATTCCGCACGTATAAATTAAATGCCATTTGGAGAAATCTTGATGACATAATCAAGATAAATAGCGATTACTATTCGACTGCCGTGCGCAGTTGTGATCATCTTAGTGGACGTGTGACCTACATTTGTTATTGCAGTTCAAGTTGATCATGTGTCTCTCCTGGCTGAGGCGTTGTGTGCATCAAGGGCATATGGGCACAGGTGGAAGCTAGACGTCCGGATTTCGGAATGGTTTAATTCAGCTGAATGAAAGTAGTCTTAAGAATTTTGCAAGGGAAACTTCTGTTGCGTTTTGTAAATTGATGAATGAAGAAGCTCCCATTCTTCACACTCGGATATAGACTGACCAGGGGATTTGAACGCCGATCACATTGGCCGCGCGGCCTAAGGCATAAACCATCTTCCGCTCGAACACAGAAATTCTGGGTTCGAATCACACTCGAGACATGGATGTATGCGTTTTTTTCTGTGTTTGTGTTGTTCTGTGTATAGTTAGCGGCCTTACGACGAGCTGATCCCCCGTAAAAGGAGTCCTACCGACTGTGTATAGGATTAAGAAACTGAACAGGCCAAGGTCCAACAAAGAGCTGTAGAGCCATGTATAGGTAGGCAGACAGACAGCGGATCTGAACACTTATAGCATGATGACACAGAGATCCTCGCTGCTCTAAGTCAACTTATTTCTTGATACAGATTTATGTTATACCATCACAACGACAAAAATGTGCTTCAGACTGTCGCACCCACAGTTTCCATATGCAAACGTTCTTGCGGTTTTGTGCCTGTCTCTGGTAAGGACCTCTGTTTGCTGCACAGAGTAGCTTGGTGCAGTTGTAATGTTCCATATTTACAGTTTCGATTTTATCCTGAATTGCCAGCGATCCTGACTCCAGAATTTTGATTTGTTTTGTTTTTAAAGCAAGTTTCGGTTAATATCTTCATGGGATGTATCCTGTTGTGTATCATATAATAGTGTTTCTATAGCACCGTCTACACAACAATTATATCAACGAACAAATCGGTACTAATGTATCATCCTTAGTTTATTTTGTAAAAGCATTGTTACATATTTCGACCCTCAAAGCATTTTATAACAAGTAGTAATATGCCGACAATACGAAAATTGACTTGAAAGGATTCTGACGATGGTGTATACTGTACTTCTTTTGGCTTGTTTTGGACTTCATCCATCGTCTGGTATGTAAAAGACAAAAGACCAGACGTGATTGAGACTAGCTCTTTCTAACGGGCCCAACTGTGTAGGTTTATCATTCCCCACCCACTTGAAGACGGAGTCAGATCCAGTCTCCGAAACGTCGTGGTCTTCTATCTTTTACATACCAGACGATGGATGAAGTCCAAAATAAGCACGATACGAGAATTGTCAGACATTATGTATAAAAATGAATGTCTAGTTTTTGTAATTATCAATTAATTCTTGCCTGTAGTCTAACCATATATACATTGAATATTTTTGCCTAAATTAAGGCGGGAGTCACTATATATAGTCAGAACAGGTCCGTGTTGCTCGCAAGCAGAACGTTTAAATTTGTGAATGTTGATGAAGGAACTAGTCACCGACCTGTCTGCTTGTCTTGTTTTCTAATAGCGTTGCCCGGAAGCCCTGATATGTCAGCATTACCCAGGCGACGACGCCGGAGTGCAGATCTTCTCTCGCTCACTAGTGGAGCATGGCATGGTGGTTCGTGTGGCGTACTGGCTACCGAATGTGTTGCTCTCAGAATATGTACTTATATTAAAAAATTCAAATTTACAAAATATGCTTACATAATCATGAAGGGAGCACGCGGTAGCGTAGTTCATTGAGGCACTATGTTACAAGCCGGAAGGTCGCCGGTTCGATTCCCGATGAAGTTATTGGATTTTTTCAATTGACCTAATCCTTCCAGCTGCACTATGTCCCTGGGGCCGACCCAGCCTCTAACAGAAATGAGTACCAGGAATCATCCTGGGGTTAAAGGGCTGCCGGCGCGTAAGGCTGACAACCTCACTGCAATCAGCCAGCCGACTGTCTAGAATATGTGGGAACTTCTACGTCTAATAACCGTATGGTACTCCATAGCCTGTTACAGGGATAGATTTACCTTTACCTTTTTGTATATAGTCATTAATGTCCATTTTACGTAGCTCTAACTTCGGTACAATGCTGATGAAATAGGCTGTCTTTACATGTACGGTAATCTTAAGTCAATTGTGAAACCGGATGTTGAATGAGAATACTTTCTTCCGACTTAGTGACACACCTCTATTACAAAATCAAGAAAAAACTGTGGCCTTCTTATATTAACATTAATTTGGAACAACCGTTACTGAATAAAAATTATGGACAAGGGATAATTAAAAGTAACTGTAGACAGCCGATAAGGCGCATCCCGCCATATTGCTGGACTTGGTTTGAGGTTAACTACCTTTATCTGTAAGAAAGTTCTAAGCTATACATCTCATAAAAACATGTAATTGGACTACTTTCGGCATTAACCAGGTCAAGTCTTTTACAGGATATAACTGACATAGCATGGTACCGGTATCGGAGGTGGCCACCAGAAACTTGTGTTCATAACGACGGTGCAAGGTCGGTTCAGATTTCTTATATAATCTATAAAAACGCATCCGCGAAACTCATTCGTGAAAACTAAATTTCAACGGCACCTATCGATGTAGCCAGCTATAAAATAATACGGTTTTAGAATCGAGAACATATTCAATTTTGAGTTCAGGGTGAATAATTT